ACCACAAGAAGGTTCTTTGCCACTTGTGATAAGCTGGTATAATACTGATATCAGAGTATTCTGAAGTCGGCTACTCCTGACTGCAAGGTTCCTACTTGTGTTTTCTACACGTTGAAAAAATCTGCCTTCCAATCGAGAAATAAATCCCTGGTCTCTGCACTTTTTCTAAAGACAATGTAAATCAATTTTCTTAATTTCAGATTATTGTTCAGAGTGCAGTGGCCTGTTGCACGTTGCACATTGGCTGCCAACTGATGACTGTTGGCTATTTCACGAGCTCCTGAATGCTGTCGCAAGCAGTCAGTTGACAGTTGACAGCTGCCAGTTGTCAAGCTGTCAACTTGTCTAGTTGTCTAGTTGTCTGTTTGACAGTCCGGTAATTTTACAGTAAAACGTTGAGTGCTTTGGCAATATAATTTGAGCATCATTTTCAAGGGCTGCTTCAAATTTGGCATCTACTTTTGCCCATGGCCCTGAGATCGACTGCGTTTGCCTTGGCTCAATTAGTTCAGCCGCAGTGCAGCCAGTCTGCCATTGGGCCAGTATCAATTATTTTAATTCACACTGCTCACTGGGACTGTGGCGATTGGTCTTTGACTTGGGTTTGGTTTTGCGTTTGGGTATTGGGTATTGGGTATTGGGTATTGGGACTTGCGGCTCTCGTAAATGTCACACGTAGATGTCACATGTGTCAGCGGTTTGAACACGTTCCGTCTTCTTTAAGCACGTACGTAAGTCCCAGAGAGTTTTTTTTTCACTTCTTCCACAATGTCCGTTCATTTGTTGCCGAACAAATCTTCGATATGTCAAATGGCTATGCTATTCCCAGAGCTATGGTATTCAAAGCTGATAAAAGCATTCCATTTGTATTACTATTCAAATAAATTGAGTGCTCCTGTTGTTTTTGCCATTGCTGTAGCCGAATTTAAATTTAGGCCAAAAGAAAGGGCCATTATTTTTTCACAATCGAACCGTAAATGTTTAGTATTGTACTTATTCTATAATAACAAAAACGAACGGGCCACAGCGGTCTCAAAAATAGATAGCAAATGAAAATTGGATAAGCGGCCGCAGCAATCGCAGACCATAATAAATAAATATAAACTCTCTCTATATGTAGTTTATATACTCACCGCAAAACAATACACAAAATATAGCGTACAAAAAATCAAATTGGTATTTGCGCCTTAATTTATTGCTTTAATGCATCCAAGTTATTGCTTACCAAATACACTCTGCCGACCACAGCAAAAACAATAAAAATACACTAAACAAAAAGAACCAATATCATCATCGATTATTTTATGCTCTTCAATTTTTTTTTTTGACACTTTTCCAAAATTTACATACAAAAGCGGCGCACGAGACAATTATCAAACGTGTAGTATACAAAAGTATATAGTATATACTATATATTCATACTAGATACCGTATACTATATATGTGAATATATATATATATAGATATAGGTATATATACCGTGGGGGAGCTGCGACTGCAACGCGCTGCGAGACTGCGGGCCAACTGAAAAATATCTAATCAAATGACTGGCCGTAAAAGTTTTTGGAATCACCACAAGAACGCTAACAAAAAATGGCAAGCAAATGGGCAATACACATGTATGTTAGCTTGTACATATGCATCCTGTCTCGTTTCACGTACGCTCGACAGAATTATGGATAAAAATCCAATTATAATGTGTACAATGTTCAGTTTGTAAATGGAGAAGGCGGTCGGACGTCAGAATTAAATTCACTTAGCAAATAAATAATTTGAACGCGAACGCGACCACGGACAAAGACGATGCAGCACTGAGCTGTTGGCAACCAAACCAGACAATGATTTAACACACAACAAGCGGCAGGAGGAGACGCAGACGCAGACGCAGACACAGCATAAGCATCAAAATCAACATCAACATCAACATCAACATTAACATCAACTAGTAGTACATCGCCAGGGTCCAACGAACAGCATCAGCGCCAGACTGAAGATAAACAAAAGTTATGATACGGAAATAAACTAAAATTTGATGTGTTGGCGAGTCGCGACGCTTGTTTGTTTTATTTTTAGGACCTGCCACATGCCGGCATAACTTTGGAATTTATATTTTTTTGTATGTAGGTATGTATGTATATACATTTCGGCCCCACTGTGGAGTAGATGGTGCCACTTGCAGCTGCCAGCAGCTAACCAGCTAAGCAGCTCTCGACGCTCGCTACTCGCTACTCGCTGGGTGGCCAACCGATTGGAGCAACCAACCCGTTCAGATTCAACTATCTTGGCCAGCAGCAGAGTTCATTAAATTGTGCAGCAGTCGCATGGCAATTTAATTCCCAATATTGCTATTTAATTACATTAAAAACAGCAGAGCGTACTTTTATTTTTTCATTCTCAATACAAAAACAAAATATGACTATTAAATGGATTCTAATTTACATACAATTTTATTATACTTGTTTGCGTGCAATGGCAATCAATAATTTTGTTTGTTCTTCATATGGATAATTGATGCTGCCAAAGTGATTTTTAAGTGATATATTGTAGCCAACAATAATAATCGTATAGGCTTTTCAATACTTCTACTTAAAATCATTTATGTAAACATTTTTTGTTTTTTTTTTATAAAAACCAGAATTCAAATTTATGTTCGATTTTAAGAATTCCAAGATAAAAATGGTTTGCAATACTTTAAAAGTCTTTTAAATGTGTTCATAATAGATTTATACTCATTTCTAGATTTATTCGTTTGTCAAACATTTTAACTTATTAGTTATTATAGCCAAAGAAAATCACTCAACGCTGAATACATTTCTTATTCCAAACGAAAATTCGATTTCAAAGTAGATACAGTAAAGTATTCCTAAAACGTTAGCCAACCAACTGCGTAGATCGCATGGCAAGCCTTGCCAAACTCATTAAAATAGTATACATATCACAGATATGATTTGGCTATGGTATCTGCTTCAGACATTTATTGAAATATATAAAGCAAACATCTGCACAAGACTATTTTCATCGGCCACAGTCGAGCGTCAAACGTCGAGCGTCGAGCTATTAATTAGCCATAAAAGCCAGCATTTGGCCTTTCGGTGCTGATATACCCAATACCCTATAGACTACAGCCCATAGTCGTTGGGCACGGGCCTTTCAATTGGCTGTTAACGAGATCATCAAAATGACATTTCTGCCAGTCCATGCACACATACCAATGTCGGCTGACTGCCTAACTGCCTGGCTGACTGACAGACTGAATGTTTGGCTAAGTGGCTGGGCGTATTTAAATTCGGAATTCACCCATCGTCTCCCTTCATTAGCATGCGCGGCACGTCTCTGGCAGTGTTTGTACTTCGGCGACCGCTCCTTGATTTGGGCCATCCTCAACAACTTTCCTCCCTACCAACGTCAATGAGGTGTTCAATTGAGGGCACTCCGAATGCGACGAGTGCAACTTAAAGCTGTCCTCAAAAGTTCAGCAGCTCTCATAGATTTCTCATCATTTGCACCGACTGCGTAAAGCTGTTTTAAATTGTGATCTTAAATAAATACCTGATATCAATCTGATGTAAATTAAGAGTATACAGATTAGTTCCGATTGTTAGTTATTATATATATATATATATATATATATGTATATCCGTTTTTAACAAACATCTTCCGTTGCCGCTTTTGGGTGCTCTAATTTACTCCAAATTGGAGAAAGTAAAAAGTTCACCTGGTAAATGCTCCTTGATCAATTTACATGATTAATGTCAATTTGGTTCTGTTTGTTTATGACTGATATGTAAATTTGGAAATTTGCATTTAATTAACATCCATAAGCAATTCGATGCAATTTTGTTTTCAATTAAACGTAACTTTAAACATGCAAATAAGCTTAAATGCATTTAAAGCCAACAGATACTAACAATACTTACTATTAAACATTGAAGCAGCAATCAACAATGCCAACAACAACAGCAACCACAATAACCACAACAACAAAAACAATGGCAACAATGTTATGCAACAATGCGAGCCAGCATCAAAGCCAGCTTCGCTGCTGCAATTACTTATACACATGCAAATACATGTACACATGCAGGTCTCACTTGATGCAATCAAGAAGCTATAAGCTCACGAATATTTAATTTAGTTCTTGTGTTCTGTATGTGTATGTGTGCTTGTGTGTGTGTGTGTGTGTGTGTGTGTGTGTGTGTGTGTGTGTGTGCTTTGGTTGAAGTGCACATTTGAATTACTAAATGAGTGGTTGTCGTTGCCTTGGCGGCTGTTTAATTGTAATTTCGTGTGCAGACCCAAAATGCTAAACAAACAGAGTATGCAATGTGTGTGTACGCAGTGTGTGGCCACAGTGGATATTACTGGATTGGATTATCAGTAGATAACAAAGTTAGATAACAAAGTACACATTCCATGTTAGTTGCTGCTAATGTTGTTGCTAATGAGAAATTAGCAAACTCCGGTTAGTCAATAGTTATTTACCCCCCCTTTCATTTTTGTTTCAGCTTGTTCTGCGTACGGCTCACGCCAGCCGATGTCTACTGTACTTGCATTCGTAATGCAGCCTTGGATTGTGCAATATATTTGGGCGCTGGTAATTCGATATGTGAGTAGCCCCCAGGTAGGCTCTGAATGGGTATTGCCATTGCCATTGGCGCATATCATTGTTAATATGGCTAAATTATAAAAGCGATTCATATGCAGTGTGTGTTGTGTGCGTGTTTGTTAACGCATAAATTGCCCAATGATTTTGACCAAAAAGCATTTGCAAATAAATTTTGCAATCCGTCGCACAAAATTGCCATATTTCTTTATTACCCAATAGCAACTGGCAAGTTTAAAAATGTCTGCAGCAAACATTTGGATAACTAAACGAGTAATTCGCATAAATAGACGTTATAAAAAGAACTCACAATATTTGTAGAGGGTACAACAAGAATAAGATTTCCAAAAACAATTGAATGCCGAATTATCTAAATTGCATACGGACAGTAAAAAGTTTAAGGATTCTTGGTGGCCTTATGCAATCGGTGCCTGACCAAGGCGTGCTCCGCGATGAATCCCAATAGAGCAAGCAATGTGCCACCGATAACCACATAGAAGGCAAGCTGCAGGTCACCAATGGTGAGGACACGAACTTCACTGCTCACCGCCTCGGATCGGATGAGGGCTGTGCGCGTTTTGATCGTCACTCTGAACTTTTGATCATCAATCCATTTGGGTATGAGGCCAGCGCTAAGCAGGAGGAGCAGCTGTGCATTGATGGCCTCCTCCCAGGGTGAGTTTCTGGGCAATACATATGAGATGGTGTAGTATTTGGGACACTCGGGTACCACCCAAATGCGCTGCATATGCAAATAGTTTACAGACTCCATCATTAGGGATGAATACCGCGAAACACCAGACTTGCCTCCAATGGTGGCTACTTCATTGGTTACATCCGCATCCAGATCGCTATTCCACACGAGTTTCTTATTCAAGCTGGCATATAGCGGTGACGTCTCACTGAAGAACAAATCGTCGGCCATCGAGCTGTACTTGTACACGATGTTAATGCCACTGTCGTCCAGATCCTGCATTGTTAAGATGTCCTTGTAGTGCAACGGATGTATATAGACGGTGGCCAAACTCGACTCAAAAATGGCACCAAATATGACGCTGACGAGACACAGCGAACCAATGAACATGCGCTCCGCATAGCTATCCGGCAGATGCGATAGATTCACCCGCACCCAGACGACCCACGTGTCCACCACAATGGCCAGTGCCTGCTGCCACAGTAGCTCATCCCTCATCCGCACAATGCGCAGCTGCAGATTGATCGCACGCAGCACCATCCAGATGAAGGCGCACACAAACGCCATCAGAATGAAGCCCAGCCAGATTTCATAGCCCACCGCAAAGATGGGCAGAATCGATTGTGGAATGCGACGGGCCTTGGGCACATAGATACACAGCTTATCGTCATAGACAGTCACCGTAAAGTCCATGTACTCCTGCACCATATAATCCTTGACAAAGAAGCCCGTCAGACAGATGTCCAGACCATCGTTTATTATGGAACCAATCACACCATTGTAGGTCCCATTGGGACTTCGCTCCCTATTGAGAAATATGACACTCAGTGAATAATTTGAATTGAATTGAATTAAAGCTCCATTTTACCTTGTAATTAAATTTAATTGAAATATATATTTGATAACAGGGACCGTAAATAATGATTATTGTCATTTTATTAATAAATATAATTTTTCTGCCACTTGGCTTCTATTTGGATAATTGTTGCATAAACACAGTCATTATCGTGCATTGAGATTTATAACAAATTATTCATTATTTTTTGAGGTCCCTGGTTAGTACACAGTGTACAACAAATGCTCACCCAAAGTAGTTCTTATCCGGCTGCTGCAGCAGCATTGTAAAATTAAGCAGCTCGCTAATCACCTTGGCCACCTCCCAGTCGACGCCGGTGATACGTCGCAGCAGACCCGTCTTGCGATCCAGCTGTGGACGCGAGTAGACCGATTTGAAGATCTGCACACGCAGCGGATAACCGTTCATGTTGTGAAACAAGAGATTGGCCAACGCCTCGCCCTCCATATAAGGCACCAGGCGGCCGAAACCATTCTCAAATCCATTGTCATTGCCTGACGCATCGAAGATGCCATCCCAATCGCCATGCTCACTGTGTGCAAACGGATCATAGATCCACATGGCCACATCTGTGAGTATATAGCGATTGTAGACTCTGTGCCGAATCCACAGCTGACGGCTGCTCTCCTCCAGCATCAAATGCTGCTGCTGGCTCAGATTGCCAACCACGTCAGCCACAATGTAGAAGTAGATGCCGGCACGCTCCGTGGACTCGGCAGCTCCTTTATTCGAGACCAGTTGCGACAGGCTGATAACCAAGGCAAAACTGTCACGCATATCCAGACCAGCCAAACTGGTGGACATCTCCAGCGGCTGCTGCTCATCGTAGCTGTGCATGCTGTGTGGCATGTTTGTGTGTTGCATAAGCCACTCGGCATTCCCGTTGCGAGCATCCGACTGCATATGATCGTGTCGCAGTAGCACGTGGATAAAAGGAATGCCTCTCATGGGCTCCACCAGTACCGCACCCAACTCTCCAGCCATGGCCCAAGTGCATCCTAGGATTAGCAGGAGCAGCAATTGAGCGAAGAGCTCGCTTTCTTGGCCACCGTTCGCCATCGCATTGCATTCGCAAATGAGAGCAGGACTAGTTTGTTGTTGGCCAACTAACAAGTTGCTAGCTGAGGGCCCATTTCATGTTTTGACACCTGCAATTTTGTTTGTTTGCCCAATTGTAATTAGAGACCAGTTATGTCAGCTGGCATTCTCCCAGCTGGTGCCGCCTTTCACCTTGAGCAAACAATTGTTGTTCAGTTCATTGTGGCAAGCAAATCGAAATGGAAATTCATTTGACTCTTATTTGTGACACTGATTTATATAGCAGCAATTGGTTTGGGTGTTGTTGGGAGTTATGTTTGGGGTAAGAAATAGACACCGGAGTTTCTTTACAAATCGACCATAAGGAATGCAAAAAAAGAAACCAATTCATCGCCAAATCAACTCAACTCAATTCAATTCAATTCAATTCAAAGTGTGGCCAAACAGCAGCGGAAATCGAAAGAAAAACACTCACCCGCGATTTCAATGGAGATTCAGTTTGTTTAAGCTGGATTTGCGCACACTGACCTTTCCTCAATGTTCAGTGCCATAATAATATTTGATTGTTGAGCAAGACAGTTCAGTAAACAAGCTTATTTACCTGTGCAGAAAGTAACCAAGCCTGCAAACTATCTTCTAAAATTGTATTTGAACATTGACTCGTATTCAAACGTAACATATTTTTTACATTTTAAATGCAAATGCCAAGATTTCCTTGCAATTCTGAGAGAGTGGGCTTCATAGACGGGATCGTTCTAGATGGGAGCCCCAACATCCTCATGCGTGACCTCGTCGCCTGTAGTTGTCAAGTGCACCTACAAAAATCAATCAATAAACTGAGCCACACTTTACTTTCGCAGCTTTTCTCTTCTCGGACTCTGCTGATTTGTCGCGCACATAAAATTATTTAAATTTGTCTCCTAATCATTCCAGAAAGAACTTACATTTGTTAAGCACTGTAAATTGAGCAATCCGAGTAAACCAATTGACCTGGAACCAGTGGAAATCATATTTAAAAAGAAAGAAAAAGTGTATGATCATGTATAGCAGTTAGATTAATGGCAGTATGGTAAGTATGTGCAGGGTATCTTCCAATCGAGCATGGTTGGCTTGAGAAATATTTGCGAAACAAGTGCAAACATTTCCATCATCAACATTTTCTGCTCCACTGTGCAATGTGCGATGTTGTTGCCACAAAAATTGAGTGTTGCTGTTGCGTTCCTTCAATGATTGTGTATGTCTGTTTGTGTGAGCGAGTGGGTTATGTGTGCTGATATTTGGGCACGTCGTTGTAGATGGGAGCCCCAACATCCTCATGCGTGACGTCGTCGCCTGTAGCTGCCAAGTGCACCAACAAAAACCATCAATAAACTGAGCCACACTTTTCTTTCGCAGCTTTTCTCTTCTCGGACTCTGTTGTTTTGTCGCGCACACACTGGGAGTTTTCAGAATGAAAAATAAATTGGAAAATTGAAAAAGCAATTCATCGCATTAGAAACGTGCATTGAATGGAAGCTGCTGGCATTGCTTTTCAGCACCACACTGCTTTATCGCCCATACGCCAGGTGTGGCGAGGACGTCATGAAAGTTGATGCAACTTCAATTTGCCTTGAAACGAATAACAAACTGGAAATGACCAAATTCATTCGAAACACTGCCGGTGATTGGGTGGTTGGTTGGGTGGTTGGGTGGTGCGGACTGTAGATTCGAGCAGTCTTATGACCGATAAAAATCAAATTTGCAGGATTAAAATTGGAAAAGGTTTGGCCATTTACTATTATGACGAGGCAGTTATAGTTAAATGCACTTCACAAACTTCTGACGAGGTGCGCCTCCAGCACAAAAGGAATCCAATAACGCCCTCTGACGTGCGTGCAACTGAAATGTTCCATGTCGATAACAGAGTGTTCGCTTAGATGCATGGATGCAGTGCAGCGGAGCGAAACGAAATCATTTGTAGAACGCAGCACGTGAAATTGAAATTTAACATTGCGTTGCTGCCGCAGTCCCGCATTATGGCAGTTGCAATCTCATATATTTTTGCACTTAATTCCACATCATTTCGTCCGAACAACAACAAAAAAATGAGAGGGTGTGAGAAAAAAGCAAAAGAACCCGTATTGAGCCCAGCAGAGTAGCGCTCGTGGCATTCATGGTTCTGCGAGCTATAACTTCCGTTGCATTTATATTGTTTGGACAAGAAGAAGAGAAAATGGGAAAATGCAAGCATGGCAAATGTGGCACCTGGCAACAGCAGCACCAAAACTAGCACAGTATCCGCACATGTTGCCAACTTGCGTGTGTGTGGATGTGTGGCATCGATTAAATTGACTTTGAGTCGCGCGGTTGCCCTCTTCTTGCAATTGGATTACAATCTACGAATCCTCAATGCAAACCAAATATGCTGTTGCCACTCCATTTGGCAAACAAGTCACTGAGACACAGACTCAGCCTCTCTCTGACTTCGACTCCATCCATTCAACCACCCGCCAGATATGCAAATACAGTTGCTTAAATATACATATTGCTATCATTTTGATTTTACCATTGAATAGTATGGAATTGTGACCTTTTGAAAGTCACTTAAACAAACTAAACATATAATAAACTATTATCTGTTATGTATTTTGTATCTTGTATATAATAACACATTATCCCAAATAGAAGCCGACAAATAGATTTTCGAAGTACATGTGTACTTTATGGATGCCTCAATTAGCGTCAAAATTGTTAATATTATTTTCTCTTAATAATTTTTCAACAAAATATAATTAATCATTTTTAATCTCTCTGACAGATTTTCATACAAAAATCGCACGTTCGTTTTTTCAAAATTATTAGAAAATATTATTTTAGACACCATCTAAAATGGCTTAAAAGATAATATAAGAATTTCATGTACACATATTGAAAAATGTACTCTGAAATTAACAAATAAATGTTTTATAGAAAAACAAAACCTTCCGTTTTAGAAGAATTCTTTCTGAATAATAAGTTAGCGCCAAAAAGATGTCGATTTTTTATCTGATTATTATTAAGCTTGAAAAAGAATTTGATTTAAACATTTTTTCATTTTTTAGATTTGTAATTGGTTGTAAAATATTAAATAATTTGCACCTATCTAATAAAATCGTTTGTTTTGACATTTTTTTAGAGTCTGTCAGAGGACAATAATCAAATTTTCTAGATACAATTAACATGACCAGTCAATCAAGTCGAATAAAATTAAAAAAAAAAAAAAAGTTGTCCAGTCTAGAATTTGGAAGACTTAAGACTTAAATATATATTGTTATTGATTTTGTATACATCTTGTAATTTTCTGAACGCTGAAACCAATGTAAAACAAAGTCGAGTTATTAATTTTTCGCTTAACGTATTTATTTGAAAATTAGAACCAACAAAAAAAAATTAACTAATAATATGATAACTTCTCTTAAGTTTCTATCTCTCTTCTCTCCATTCTTTGTACAATTTAAAAATAGTTTAGTTTTTAACGCCAGCGGCTGTTTTTTCTTTTCTTTTTTGTGTGGCTTTTTTCAGTGGTCCATTGTCATAATCGCTGCACCACAGCGGTCCACGCCGAAGTTCTGACGCATACGCTCGAGGGCAGCTCGGCTGAAACCACGTGCCAGGAGCTGCGACTCCGCTTGGGCGATCACCTCGCGCATGTAGTCCAGTGCGCCGGCACTCTCCGTTAGCTGGCTGCAGACGAACTTGTGCCGGAAGCGCAGTTTCGCCTTCTTGATCTTGTTGTTGTAGCGCGACTTGCGGCACGATTCGGCACGCTGACGCTGTGCATCCCGGCTGCCCGTTACCGTCTGGGTATCGGTTTGGGTGTGAACTTGGACCTGGCTCTGGGTTGCCTCTGTTTTGGTTGGTGGTGCACGCCGTTCCACCACGATAGGATTCTCGATAAGCATTTGGTCCACATAGCGTTGCTCCTCGTCTGCATAGTGCGTCTTTAGATGCTGCAGCTCCATAGCAACCAGTTCGTCAATCTGTTCCGGCTTGTTGCTATGCAGTGCCGGCACTTTTACTGGATGCACACTGCCACCGTGGACTGTATTGTAGCGATGGCCCAGCTGGCTATAGAATTTGTTGAGATGAATATTGGTCTGTTCCATCTTTTGTTCGTTGATCAGTTTATCGCTTCTGGCTCTTGGTCTGCTCGGCCCGAAATCAGAATTGCATTTGAGGCAGCACTTGTCGACGCAGCGCTTTTATAGGCTGCACATATCGCTCAGGTCAAACCTTTATTGAATCAACTTGCAACCATTTTATGATCTTGTTTGTGCGCCTCAACCAAAATGCACCGCCCTCACACATGGGCAAGTACCTGCCCCAAAGAACATGTAAACAAACGGATTAGCGCGAGAGGCGCATGCCACCTCATTGACCTTAAATTCTATCACAATTGCTACCTGATCAATTTCCGATAGGGCCATTGAATGGTGCATGTTTCGATTATGTGCTTTTGCATTATTTCTTCCCATTTGTCAATAATACATATATAAAATCAGAAAGCAATCGGAGTGAATGTTAGAAAATTGTTAAACTTTTAGCTTATTATTCAGAAAGTATATTTATAAAGCGGAAAGTTGAATATTTCTAAAGGCGAGGGTTTTCATTTCCTAATTCCAGGTTAGGATGTTTTTTCTGTATAGGTGTACACGGATATTTTTACATACACACAGTTTAGATAGTTTATCAAATGAATATAAATTAATTGAATGGTCGAGAGAGCCAGCTTGCACTTCTACTTTTTATAAATATCTATCATTATTATAAAATATATTTCAGAAAAATAGAAAAATACAATACTTTTGGAAATTATATCTTAAAACGAGAAAAACTTCCTAGTCTTCAGGGAGATTTTAAGTTTTTGGCAATTTTGTTTTAATTGTGTGTGATTGCCAGAATATGCAGTCTGAAAATAATACTTATTAATGAGTTTATTATTATTAATTTATTTTAGCAAATACGTTTTCAATCCAAGCATACATTTATTAATATGAGGTTCCAAAATGATATGTAAATGCTAAATGAGCAAAAAAAATAAAAACTAAAGTCAAATAAAATGCATAAATGTTGTATTTTCATATGCCTATTTTTTGTTTATGCCTAAGAATGTATTTTGATGGAAGGGCTCAGATTGTACCTAAAATTTAAAATTGTTCGAAACTGTTCGATTCGAAAAGTAAGAGACCCGAGCGCATTAGCACACATATTTACATCATGATTAGGGAATTGTGTATGTAGATACACACGCACACATACAAATGCACAGATACATTGCGATAAGAGCATAGAGCATAGTGGAATATGCAAACATGTGGCACAGTACTCAGATACATATTCAAACATACTTAAATACACGAACACATATTTGAGATTCGACTGAGCAAATGTAGAAATGTTGGTCAACAACTCGCCAAGTTCAAGTGCAAACTATCTGGCAAGCAGACAGTGTTGAATTGGCTACACACACAACTAAGTGCCACATTGATAACAGCAAAAATTCGAGGCGTGGTTCAGGCTACTAACTGACAAATGCTCGGGACAGGGAAATACGAGCACGATAAGCACAAAGCCATAAACCAATCAACAATCTTCTCTAGCTGCTCGCCAACTACCTGAGACGGGTTTAACCCGGCTGTGGTCCTGTCGCTGATGAGTGGTCAAGTGCTGCAACTGTGGTAACACTGGCAGGTAGCCATTTTGTATTGATAGATCGACCACCATGCCAATTTAACAGGCCACAGGCTGCTGGACACGATGCTGCCTGTTTGTTTTTTTCCATTTCTGTAGGTAAAGGATGAGCAATGGTCACAACAATTAAATTAAGTGCCTCTGGCTTTGCAATAACAAAATCACTGAAAAATCCCACAATAACACAATGTGTCAGCGGATTAAACTGTTTGCGTTCGTTACTCCATCCCGACTCGCAAAAGAAATTGGATTTCACAACATTGATGATGAAATCAATTGGGCAATTCTACAACCTATTCTTGCCGAGACTATTATTCTTGACGAACGATTAATACTACACTCAGAAAACATTGCCCTGAAATAAAAATAGCTCTGATAACTAGATACATTTTATTTTTTAAAAATAATTTTTAAATACATGTAAAAAGTCTTTTGCATTTATCAGAAACATTTTCCTAATAACGAAATATATTTCAAAAAGAGACAAATGCAATGCAAATTCAGAAAATATCCATAAAATTTGGTCTTTCGGCGACTAAACTTTTTCAAATTAAATTATATGAATATTACAACCTGTCTAAAAGCCTCTTAAAATAATAATATTTAATCTTCGTATAATTAACAAAAAAAAGAAGCGGGAAATTGAACATTCATTTTGTAAATGTTAAAAGAAAAAATTTACCCTAAAATGAAGAAATGAAAATATATTCTTTCTGACTAATAAAGTGTTTTACCCTTCGTGCCAAAAGTATGTAGTACTGTTCCACCAAATTGGGGGCGCTTTTTAAATTTTGCCATTTGCCATAACTTCATAACTTTAATAGCAATACCTTTTTTCTTATCTAGATTGAAGTTTGGAAACGCAAAACACAGTCCTAATTCAAATTCTCAACAGCGGACCATTATTATCATATACGCAAAGTTCAGTTGTAAAAAGATTACGATTTCTTTTTCTAGACTCCAGCTGTGTTATTTATTTATTTTTATTTTTTGCTTTTGCAAATTAGTAATGCCAAATTCGTTTATGACTTCATTAACTTTGGGAGGCGCCACTGGGGCCATTAAATTCACAGCTTTAACGAGCTGCTCAGCCTTAATGTGCCAGCGATTTCTTGGTAAGCCAAATAATGTAACAATAAATATAACAGCTGTATTTAAAAAGATATGTACATATGTACTAACGTAGACAATTATGTATATCCATCGATTTGAATGTGTAGCGATGAGTTAATTGAAAAGGATGGAGAACATCCTACTGTGGAAACAGTTGATCTGAATATAAATTACTCACTCCAGCAGCGTAAGGGGAAGCCCAAGATGAGTCCTGTCAGCGACAGAATCCAAAAGCCCAAGCATGTATTATATTACAAATCGACGGGAAATGTTGTGATAGGAAAAGCGATTCTATTTCCAGCCGGCTGCTAAATGGGGGACAAAACGTCGCTCATAAGTATAATTAAAAAAACATTTATATTAATTTTGTCGAATACTGGACGAAAGCAAACAGAAGTTGACCCGGCTGGAGCATTCATACAACTACCCCAAGCCCCCAACCAGCGCCACTTGAAGTTGGCCATCAGCGTTAGTCCAGTCAAGTCCCGTGCTGACAATTTCCGACTATGGGTGCCTGAAAAAAAACCGGAGCCATAAATACGCGCATACAGCAACATGCCACATGCCTCACTCTCCTTACGCAACGCCAAAGCCATTGAGTTTGAATTATGTCAGCGCAGTAATAAATTGCTCAGAGCATTAAATTAAAATATACGATACATGTGTGTGGGTGCTAGTGAGTGTGTGTGTGTGTTTGTGGGTGTGTGTCTATACAAGGCGAGGACGAGAACGTTAACACAAATATACATATATATATATATATATATATGTGTATATATATATATAGTATTAGGCAGTTGGCATTGGGTGCCCAATAGGATTTGTGGCGAGAATTTACTACAAAATGACAAACATGTATCGTATGGATTCTAAGGCATTCACTTGATCCTTGGCAACTCTTTTCTCTCTCTCTCTCTTTTTGGGTTAAAATATTGCACTGCCTGGTGGAACATTGAAGGAGTAGTGTTGTTGGCAGGATGAATGGAAATGTACTGTGGGTGTACATTTGCTTTTGTACATTTCGCATACATGCAAACTATTTTATTACGCTTTGGAACAACGAATGTGTATATAACCAATGATATAACTAAGCATATGTCATTCTGTATTAGCCAAAGTGAGGTTGGATCAAGACGAAGCATTTCGAAGTATTTCGGATGCGGAGATGAACAAGATGAACAACTGTAGGCGGTAAGGGTGGGCGTGGTCATATTCAATCAAAGTTGTATTTATGAGATTTATAGTTGGGTTTTGGGTTATTGAGTTATTATAATTTTGTCGTTTGCAACAAACTCAATCAACTTGAAAGAAAGAATTATTTTTGTATAGGATGTCGGATACCGATAGGAACAATCGGTCGAAGGCTGAATTTACGTTCATAAACAGTTTAATTGTTGACCAAGTTATCCGAAGCAAACTCACCAATATGCTGTTAAGATTTAGTCAAATAATTATTTAAATTTAGACAACAATAAAGTCGATTTTATATCATAGATTACATGGGAGCAAACGGGTATAATTTTTACGTTTTTTAGACTACAGTCAGCAATATTCTTTATAATTTACAAATTTTATACCGTCCTTCTTGACCATAGTGAAAAGTTCATATTTTGCTTAGAACGCAATAATTTTGTATATATTGCTTAATGTTCATACGTCGGTTGTAATTCTTACATTTAACCTTTGATTGTGAATTTACAAATTAATATTGAATTTTCCATTTGTATTTAATACAGTCAAAATTATGATTTTAACTATAAATTTGTAATTTTTTAAAATTTAAAAATACCAAGAAATATGTCGGTTCTTAATATTTCCCACACAAGTTACAGTTACAGAGTTTTCCAGAACAATATATACATTCAGTTTTCCTATATACTTTGCTGTAATAAATTAATATTTGAATACAAATTTTGTAGATATGTTATCAAAACAGACAAAAACTACAAATTTTGTGGTTTAAATAATTTTCTTTTGAAATAATCGACATCTTATTTATACATATACAATGGACATACTTTGAGTGCATGTGCAATTATCATTTGGCTTGAGAGATTTTTAAGTTCACATTTTATATCTGATATCAATAATAAAAGGTTAAATGTGAAAAACACACTTAACATACACGCTGGCAAATATATAAGTACAGTCAAACTCGTCAGTCAAAATCGGGAAGTTGTTGAGCATTGTTCTCACTCAATTTGGTTAGAAAATATAAACAGATAATAAACAATTTCCAGTGTACCATATAATTCTGCCGCATGGCGATATTTAAGACTAACATTGTAGTATATACATGGAAAAATAGTTCCACCTTATGCATTGTCAAATGGTTCAGATCAGTGCTAAGCGAACATGATACAAGCCTATAAGCTATGCTAGCTTTCCTAGTAATCCGTGAGCAGATTAGCCCGAGCAACCGCGACAACCGCAATGAACGCATTCCACAATGCGACCCTCCTCTAGTTTAGATTTTGGCACACGACAAATGCAATTGGTGCCGAAATTCGTGTCGCGCGTTTGAATGCAACGCAGACAGCAAAGATTCTCATAGCCAGACTTCTTCCACTTGGCTATCAAATTACTGTCGGCAATCTTCTCCTTCAGGCAGTAGTCGTATAGCTCGCGACTTATGGCCTTGCGTCGATAGAACAAGTCATACACGTAGCGCGTTTTCTGGTGATGAATCTTGAAGATGGGCCACAGAGATTCCGTAATGCGCTTGCCCTCGTGCGGTTCCGTCTCGGCTGCAAATAAGAAAAGCGTTCAAAGTTGACTGCATACAGGAAACATACGGCAACATTTAGCATTTTTAATCACCCTCGCGCATTTTTTGTTCCAACTCTTCCAGCGTTGGTTCAATAAGTTCCCAGCCATCTGGCGGCGGTTTACGACTGCGACGAATTTTTGGCATTTTGATTTATCTATTTAATGTGCGCGTCCCAAAACAAAATCGCTAAAATGCTACGAAAAGTGAAATAAAGCGCAAACAGCTGACGAATACGAACATTGCCTAGTGTTGCAAAATACTCACATTATGAGCGAGCGAACAACACCACTTACTAGTCAGAGCTGCAGCAAGCAGTCACATCGATAGGTGCTGCTGCTATCGATAACAGTAGTAGTTTATTTTCCATTTCAGTGTATATGTAATCGTAGAAGTAATGAGTTGATTGTTTTTGTTTTGTTTTTTGTGTGCCTCGATATAAGCGTGTTATAGCTATTTATTTAAATTTGAATCTGTGGTCAATTAGTGCTGTTTAGCAATATTCAATTGTTAACACAATAAGTGGATCAGCAATCAAGCGCCGCGAACACTGCGCAGCCAAAAGTAAGCAAAGCCCAAAAAAGAGACAGACTCCGTGTGTGCTGTAAATGTGCATGTGAATGTGAATGTGCAGCAGCACACAGCCCACAGTGCTCCACAATGCAAACTAACCCACATACACAAGTTAAGCGCAGCTTCACATGAGAAGCAGTGCTGTATTATTGCCATCGACTGCAGCACTTCGTTTTGCTTAGTGACAATAATTACTGAATAATTACTCGCTCAACTAACAGCGACATCAACTTTAAAAGCAAAAAAAAACACACTCACTTGTGTGTGTGTGTGTGTTTTGCAAAGTATATACCTATATATATATATATATATATATATATATATATATATGTATATGTATGGGTGTTAGTGTACTATTATTATTAGTGTTAGTGTACTATTATTATTGTTGTGACTTCGCTGCCTCACTATTGTCGTATTTGTTGTAAGCCCCGCTTTCATTCATTCATAAGTCCGGTAGCTTTCTTTGCGGCCAGACACAAGATGTCATATCAACAACCACAAACGATAAAAAAAAATTTGGCCTTCGCCTAATGTGCGTTCGCTCGCCTGCTCTCTCTCTCTCTCGCTTTGTCTCTCTTTCGCACTCGCCCGCATCTTTGCTACTGCATTTTCCATTCATTTGGCGATTAGCGCGTACGCTTTGATTGTCATTCGCATTCGTTGTATTTAGTGCATGGTACGTGAAATAACAAAATTAAGCATACACACAAACACACAGCACACAGCTGCAGAAAGAGAGATCAGCCTCCCCCTCCCCACCCACATTTTGTTGGCTCATTAAACGCCCCCTTCGACGGCGTGTCTGTGGCTCTGTCTGCATGTATGTGTGTACAAATGTACTATGTATGTATGTAAGTGGGTAATGAGCGCTGTAAATCAGAATTCTGTTGTTTTGTTTTGCTTTGTTTTCTGTATGTGCACATTCCTCATTTCTGACATTTTCCCCAATGTGCACACATACATACACATACGTACACCCTCAATTGTAAAATTGGCAGCCAAATCAGCAGCTCCACTTGAAGCGTATTCCATGGGGCCGAGTCACCCACCACTCACAAACTACCTGCAAATTGGTCACAGCGTTTATCTAATTTTAAGTACCTCTATGTGTGTATGTGTATGTACGTAATCCATGTGTGTGTGTGTGTGTGTGAACAAAAATGTTAAGACTTAAAGTCGCCTGTGCTTACTGATAGATATTAATATTGATATTGATAAGATTGCAAAAAAGAAAATAATTTATTAGTTAAACAATTGTAGTTATTATATTTTGAAAGGTTTGTGAAAGTTACTTCGAATGTGAAAATGGCAATATATTGGTCTGATTCCCCGTTTCTATTTTTATCTTTTAAATGTAGGATATCTGCTAGTCGAACACTCGTCACTAGCGCGGTCTATGTGTTTTCAACTGAGTATTTCAAATACTCCCCCAAAATGAGAGCTCGTGATTTATTGCATTGCTTGGCAAAAATACTTTTCGCTGTGTACTTTTTGAAATGAAATGAATTTGATTTGTTTTCCCAAGTGAAACTGTAGAATCAGATCAGGTTGATAAGCAAGCTGTACGTCAATTCAAGGACGCTTTCCATGAGCTGATGCTGTTCAGACGCATTAGTTTAATGCACATTTACATTATCTGCCTGCACCTACATAGTAATAATAAACAAACAAAAAAAAGTTCAAAGTGAATTACAAAATTATACTGAAGATGATGAAAAAACATTGAAAGATGAGATAGATATAAGATTAGTAACAGAAAAGTGAAAGTTTTGAAATTCACCTAAATAAACTGATAGCGATGAGTGAGGAGACTGAAATGATCCAAGGAATCGAAGGAAATCGAAGTCGTTGAGCGTTTTTTCTGTTTATCACATCTGTAGAAATGCATGTATGTATATGCATTGTATATATGTATATATCTCTCGGTCCAAGTGACTGACGTCTAGCCCTATCACATGGCAAGTGGGCGTTAATTACCGAGCAAATAGTTCGCTGATCGAGTGAGTGGGAATGGAGAAAGACACACAACAATATTTTATAATTATCACGTATATCAGTAGATCCCATCAATTACAAGCTGGAATGTTCTAGTCGAGGGAGCTCGACTAGGATATACTCTGAAGGTAGCAGGCTTGCTGACACTGACAGTGGTTTCTTCAATATGAAAATACGTTTTGGCCAATAAAATATGCGTTTCTTATCGATTCAAGTGCGATCAGTTGCTCAATAATATGTCTGGGTACATTATATATCAGTTTATCAATGAAGTTAAATACCCCAAATATGCCTATAGTATGTGAAAACTTCTAACTAACTTGCAATCTCTGGGAGCTGCTCAGACTCGGGCGTTGATGCTGATCAAGAACATATATAAGTTATTTGTATATATAAATATGTGTATTTATTCAACTGGAAATGTACGCAAATCTCTTTCATTTGTTTATCTTAGAAAATAAACGAGATAATTATTTAAGAATGCGTTGAAAGTATATCAATATTTGCAGTCACACAATAGCAAATTGAATCTTCACAATATTGTTGATCTATTCAGGTAAAAAGATCCTCACCATGGAGTCCACAGCAGCCGGCAATCTGCTGGAGATCATGGATCTAGCTCGCACTCTGCGCCAGGAGCAGCTGTTCATAAAGCAAGAACAGGCGGCCTTCGCACGGCTCACCGATGCCCTGGAGACAAATGCGGCGACAATAACAAAGGTAACAATAACAACACCCATATTTGTTAAACATATTTAAAGCGATGTCACGTCCCATTGCCTTATACTGACTGAGTCACCGTTTGCACCCCTCGTCCATTTAGCTGGCATACATATGCGCACAACAAAGACAGAATCTGCATGATCTGCTGCTGGACAGAACGGATCACGATCCCCTTGTTTGTTGTCGACGTGCGACCGCCTTCGAAAATGCCCCATTCTTGGATGCCAAACAGGTGTTGCCCTACCAGGTAAGCACAACTCACTTTTATATATATCACTCACATATTTACAATTCTACATATGTTTTGGTTGGGTTGGGTTGGGTTTGGTTGTTTGTTGGTTGTTGTTGTTGTTGCTGCTGTTGGTTGGCTGCTTGCAAATCCAGACAACAAAGAGCAATTTCCGACGTAAATAGAGGAAGCATTGATATAATAATTGCGTTCTCCTTTTGTGAGCGTAGTTGTTCCAGTCTCCAGCCTCCAGTCCAGGAAACTATTTAGTTCAAAGATACTGTGTGGCGGTATCTGAAAGTATCACAAATTGTTCGTGGCTAGCCATCAGTAGATGTAGCTATAAAATGCATATTATTGCAACTATTTGCAATTTTAGAAATTTGTTTGCGACGTAAAAGAAGATTAGGTACTTGCCCTTGCCGCCACATTTATTTTTCCTGTATTATTTTTGTTGTAAACAGAAGTGGATAAGTTTTTCGCGAATGGTCAACCACACTAAAAAGTTGCTATTTTCGACGAGTATTCTTTTGGCAACTCTGGAGACTCCATACAGATATCGCTCAGCTGGTTAGACTTATAACAAAACATAGACTGTATGCAAATATGCCAGGTTGCTTAGTATTGAGTGCGCTTACTGCACCTTTTGAACCTTGAACTTGTAGCAACAGTTAATCGGATTTTGTATTCCATGTTTATAACTTATAGTATGCCCTGGCCTATGAGGATCTGTTCAACTATCTGTACAACACACCATATTTGCTGGCCCTGTCGCTGGCCACAGCGGATCGGCTGTCGCTGCTCGCGCCGTCGCATCTGGGACAGATTGTGAACACAATTGTGACGGGACTCTATGGCAATGCGATCAATACAAAGGATGTGGAGCTGCTGCTCAAGCTGCTGCGAGAACTTATCGAGCTGCAGCTGCTGAACAGCGATCAGCCTCGTCGTTTGCTCCGAGCAAATGGCAGCGCCTTTGCCCGCCTCTATCAACGGCTGGTCGAGTCCCTCTTCTCGGCGCGCATCTTTTTAACGGCCGTGCTGTATGAGCCGCTGATGGCAGTACTCAGCGAGCACGAGGCATTCCTCGATGTGGATCCGCACAAGTTGCTGCAGAGCTTCACTGCTCGGGAGCGCCAGCGTCGCTTCGGTGAGGATGAGACCAGTGCCGCCTATCAGCGCAATGTGGCCCGCTTCCATGCGGAGACTCTCGGCAATTTGCATACCCATGCGCAGGCATTTGTGCGGAGCCTGCAACAGAGCTGGGCATTGTTTCCCAGCTCGCTGCGCTGGCTGCTGCAGACGCTCGGGCAGCAGTTGCGGCAGACGCAGCGGCACAGCGATCACGATATACGCCAGCTGCTCTCCGATCTCGTCTTCACCCACTTCATTTGCCCGGCGATCGTCAGTGCCGATCTGCTGGGCATCGTCGATGCGAACGTCAACGAACAGATGCGTCACAATCTCAATCAGATTGTTCAGCAGCTGCAGCGTCAGGCACTCAGCGATAGCGACAGTGAACTGACACAGCTAATGGAGCTGCTGCTGTTGGGCCAAACGGGCGAGGACATCGTTGCCATTCTGCCGCAGCAGAGCGACTTTGAGCGCGCCCAGCTGGCGATCAATGAGCGTGAATTGCAACAGTTTGCCGACTTCTTTCGCCTGCTTGCCGCTCGCGCCGAATACGATGTGTCCGCCGAGCAGCGACAGCGACTCCGACGCATTCTCGCACGCATACCCAAACAGGAAGCGATCCCGCCAGTGGCGGCATCGTCGTTGCCAGCTGCTAGCGATGCAGCCGCCAGTCCCGAGAAGAATGGGAAACGCTCCAACAAGGGCCTCATGCGGCTGGGCAAGGCCACCAAAAAGAAGCTCGCCAAGGGCATCAACTTCACAACCAACACGGCCACCACTACCACTACCAGCAGCAGCAGCAACAACAACAGCAACAATAGTAATAACAATAACAATAGCTACATCAACAGCAATCACACCAGCAGCAGCAGCAGCAGTAATCTTGCTCCAGATGTGGGCAACGGAAGCATGGCAAATGGTGGACAGACTGCTTTGGCCAATGGCGATGTGGAGCCGTGCTGCTCCTCGCACAGCGGCAGCAACACCAGCCTCAGCTCCTGCGGTGGTGTCGCCACCATCAGCAATGGAGCAGCTGTGGCAACAACTTTACTCGAGCCAGAAGCATCCGATGGGGATGGGCCGGTTCTGATGTTCAGCATTTATAATGCGGCTGGCAAAAGCAAGTTGAAGCCGCTGACCGAGGAGGATCTGTTGAAGATGAACTGTATTGGCCAGGAGATTGTGCCAGTGGCTGTTGCCGCTGCAGCCGCATCCTCGAATGCGGACGATGTGAGCAGCTTGGATGCGATGCGTCGACCGCTGAACGATGATGCTTCAATTGGCAATTCGGACAATTTGGAGGCAATCAGCGAGGCGGCTCACTCGGCAAATCATTCGGTGGCCAGTTCCCTGGATCTGGAGGAGCAGCAGGAGCGTGATGTGCACGATGCTGAAAACGATGACAATCTCTCGGACATGGTATCCGCCAATGTCTCGGGCCGTGGCACACCCAATATTAGTGGGCGAGACACGCCCTCATCCCAGGTAACGGATGGCGATGGCGCCGGCGGTGAGTTGGCCCATCATGTGGCCCGGCCCACACCCCAAATGCAGAAGATGCTTCTATCCAAGGCGCGCTCGGACATCGAGGACAAGTTCTGCAAGTTCGAGCTGAAGAAATTTGAGGGCGATGAGAATGTGAGCATCATTTCGGACACCTGGTCGACGGATGTGCTGGCCAGCGATTCGGAGAACACGCTGGACGCCAGCAGCGAGCAGCAGCGCGAGCGGGACAGAGACAGGGAGCGGGAGCGCAATTTCTCCACACCACTAATACCGTCGGCTGTGGTGCTGCCAGGCGATAATAATAATTTTGTGGTGGAGGCACTTGCACGTGCCGCTGGCGCTCCTGTGCTGGATGCCTCCGATCAGCGTTCCGAGTCCAATTGGAGCACCGATGTGCTCGCCAGCGATTCGGAGAAGCTCGCGGAGATCGATACCGATGACAATGCGAGCATCACAGCCAAATCCGATATTGCGGTGCCCCTGGCACTTGCCGCCGTTCTCGACGATGGCGAACAAACGCCAGGCAGCAGCGGCGATGCGGACGGGGATGGGGATGGGGATGCCGGTGGCAATGGGGGGAATGCCAGTGCCAGTGAGCGCAGCCAGGAGGATTCCGCCTTCTTCGATGCGGTCAACTCGTACGAGGATGCGCACCATTATCAGGCGGCATCCTCGCTGGCTCGCAGCTCGGTGCGCACCAGCTACCATGGCCTGGGCGGCGATAGCGGCGACAGCAGCTTCCAGCAGCAGTACAAATGCAGCGCAGCCGAGGGCAGAAAGAGCACACCCCTCATGGGCACCGCCTGCATGCGTCGGCAGACGTCCGCCGAGAGCAGCATCTCCAATCAGAGCCTCAATCTGGAGGAGCCGATGGCGACGACCAGCAGCAGCAGCAGCAAACAGCAGTCACTGCAACAGCACCAGCAGCAACAACAGCAGCTGCATCATCACCATCATCACCACCACCATCATCATCATCACCACAAGAAGAAGAAGCAGCAGCAGCTGCTGCTGCACCCGGCAACGGCGTCGAGTGGCCATCAGGATCTGATTGATTTCAGTGACTATAGCGAGGACAAGGAGGATCCGCCGGGTCTGGTGCAGCAGCTACTGGACAAGTTTGGTGACGAGCAACATTTGCGCGGCGGCGTCCAGCATCGCCGCATCTCCATGGAGCAGCGCACGGCCAGCGTGGATGGGAGACGCAATGGCATACTCGCCGGCACCGGCAACGGCACCGGCAGCACCAGTGAGCGGCGTCACCAGAGTCTCAACTATGAGAACCACGAGATCATGCTGCAGGCCATTCGGCCCAATGCCACCGAGCCCAAAACGGACGACGATAAGCAGCAGGAGCTGCAACTGCTCTGCGCCCGGGCTCAACAGCTACAGCTGCACGATGATCCGCCAGCTGGCGATGCAGATGCAGATGGAGCTGGAGCTGCTGCCGGCGCCGGCGCCTCGACCCCCGCTAGTAGTAGTACTGCAGCGGCCAAACCGAGCAAGGCAACCGGAGCGATACCAAAGAGCATCAGCTTCGATGCCAGCGCTGATAAGGAGAAGCATCGCAGCCAGCGGGAGCAGCGAGATCAAAGCGCCGGCATTCTAAACAAACTGAAGCAGGGCATCTTCAAGAATCGGCGCGGCAACAACAGCAGCAAGTCCACCTCGTCAGCGCAAAGCCAGCGTTTGCCGCCCAGTGCCAACAGCAGCAATAGCAACAACAGCAACAACAGCAACAGCAGCAACAACAACGACAATAACAATATCGGCGGCGTCAACGATCCGAATCGTTGCGTCAGCTTCGATGCCAGTGCCGCGTGCGTCAGCTTTGGCGCCCACTGCTGTGATAGCAGCGAGGACATTCTGGCCAAATACAGGCGCAAGGTTAGCAGCTCCAGCGAGGCAACCAATTCGGATTCCACCGGCAACGGCCATGGCGGACGCGGTAGACCCTCGGCCCATGGCCAAGTTATCAATGGCGGGTAAGAGTCCTCTCTCTCTCTATATACCCATCTCTCACACACTCACTCTCTGTCTGCTTTTGTTCCTGTTTGTTGATTCATGAATTAGACGCGAAATACTCGCTGAAGTCTTGGTAACGAATCCAAATGAAACAGCAACATATTTGCCTGTCTCTCCTGTTCTTGCTGGATCATTCTAACATTATCTCTCCCTCTCTCTCTCTCTCTCTTTCAGAGAATTGCCTGGCGTGGTGTTCAGCAGCGTTAAGCAGAAGCTACGCATGGTTTTATCCAAGACTGATCTGCACAGCGGCGACTTTCGGCAGACAACGCTGCGACCGTTGGACGCGACCCCGCTGCAGACGTACCTGCAGATTCAGCTGGCGCAGTGCACCAGCCTGCAGCGATTGCCGCAGATATCGCATGTTTCGGAGGCGTTGCGCTGCCTGGCGCAACTGGAGCGGCCGCAGCATGCGCAGCTGTTGCTCGAACTCCAAAATGATCGGCAGCGTCGCCAGAGTTACCTGCAGTACCTGCTCGTCCATCGACAGCAGCTGCTGCTGCGGTCCGAGCAGCTGGAGCAGCTTGAGGAGCGACTGCGTGGCGAGGCGCGCAGCTGCCAGCGTTGCCTGCTGCAGTCGCTGGTCCGTCAGTATTTGGGACGGCAGCAGTCGAAGCTGCAATCCTTCCGCGCCGAGTTCGCAATGCTCAGCGGTAGCGATGAGCGACTGGAGGTGATCGAAGAGTTTATCGAGAGTCTGCTGCAAGAGTTGCGTGTGGGCGGCATGCAGGACGGCTGGCAGCGGGAGTCGGCGCGCGTGGCCATTGAACGACTGCTGTTCGAGCTGATGTACGAGCAAGTGATGTTCCCCAACGAGGATGCTGATTTATCCAGGGATTCTGTGCTCGCCGCGCATATTCTCAAACTGCAGCGTTTTGTGCATCCGGCGCATCCAGCGCTCTGCATCGCCCAGGAGTATCTGGGCGAGGCGCCTTGGACGTTCGCCCAGCAGCAGCTCAACTACATGGCCGCCTACAAAACACCGCGCGAGAAGCTGCACTGCATCATTAAGTGAGTCGATTTGCTTCAATTTAATCAAATCAAATTCATTATTTTACCTAATTGCTTTTCACTCGAATTCTATTTTTGCAGCTGCATCTCCAGCATCCTGAGTCTGCTGCGCATGTCCAGCTGCCGTTCGCCTTCCGCCGACGATATCCTGCCAGTGCTCATCTATGTGGTCATTATGGTAAGTCATGCATCTTCACACACATATCTGTGATATTTCTTAAAACGGTTTTCTTTGATGGCAACTTGTACCTATGGTACCTTGTACCGACAAACTAATTATAATAATTCAATGTGGAAATTCATCTGCGACGTTTTTCAAAAATTTATTTAAAACAAATTAAATCTTATTTGTTCAAGAATTTATTCGAACTTGAATGTACTAATAATAATCTTTGACCTTCAAAGAAAATCAATCAAATACATTTTGGTCGTTATCAAAATAATATCTTCATATTTCTGTTACAGGCGAATCCGCCGTTTCTGCTCTCCACCGTGGAGTACATCAGCTGCTTTCTGAGCAAGGCGCTGGATGGTGAGGATGAGTTCTACTGGACGCTATTCGGATCCGTTGTCAAGTTCATCAAGACCATGGACTACATAGACTAGTGCACAGTGGAGGCTCTAGAAGCCTTCAATCGGAAATATTGGCTCGCATTCGAGTCGTAGCTTATGTATATGTTTATATGTTTTCGACTTGGTGTCCAGTCGACGTTTGATATTTCTGTATTCGTTAAATGTGAACGTTATTCTACTTCTATGCATAAATACTTATATTTAGATCATACATACATATATATATATATTAATATACGATATTTACACATGTATAAAATCGAAATCGAAAACGGCGACACGAAGCTAAATTTGCTAGCAGCTAAATGCAGCTGCCCAACGATCTTAACTATTTTTCGATGAGCCCATTTTTTTTTGTTGTATACTCGTACATACTTAGTAGGTACATGCTGTAAACATAGTACATACATAAATACATACATACATACACACTTACATACATATAAACATATATTTAGCTATATACATATACATTTATAGAAGCATGCACGACACATGAAAATCAACTTAATATTCCTTATTGTGTAACACAAAATTAAAAAACAAATTCCAAAAAAAAAATATATTCACATTGTTTTTTATTTTTTATTGTTCTTAATATAAGGATGTGTATTTTGAAAACTTGCTAGGAGGCTTTTAAGAATTATCCAGATCGGAATATACCTCTAAGAAAACAAAAAAAAAATGACTTGCGACTAAAAGCATCCAAGTAGTTAGGCTCTTAGATGACCGCCATGATCCTTGACTACAGTTCGATAGAACCTGAAAATCTGCAGGGATTTGTCCAAATTCAAGGTGTTTTTGTACATTTTTATTTGCTGCTTTTCTGCTATCCATTTGGATCAGCCTGGAGGTATGCTTTAAATCTTTATTTTAAAATATATACGCTGATGTTTTGTTTAATATTTACAGGTGTGGGCTATTTTGTTTGTTTATTTAATTGTTTATTCTGTAACGAATATCAGCAGAAGCTGAACGCTGCCATACAGAATTATTTGGAGACTGGCGATACGAATCCAAATAAATATTAGAGTAATCACAAGCAAATTAATTTCAAATCAGACTTGAGTTCAGACGGTTCCGGACATCAGAGCCGTAATGATCAACACAAAATGAATTTAACAAGAAAAAAAAATAACAATACGAGAATGAGACGATTAAAGATGCTTTTGTGGTGGATAATGGTGCGTTGGATTTACTGACGCAACGCGTACTTCTCCAGATTGGTGTCACGCCCGCCCATCAGGTAGCTATTGATGCACATCTGGGACATGATGCGTACGCCACGCTGCTGCAGATAGGCAAAGTCCTGGGCGGCCAGCGGTGCCTTCTTCGCATCGACGAAGCAGTGTGTGGCCCTCGCCGCCGACGCATCCGAGCTGAAGGGTGTGCTGGGCTCCAAAATATGGGCACCGCCGGCACGCAGAACATTCTTGATGGCCGCCAGATTGCGCTCCTGTAGACTGAGTATGACACGATGATCACTGAAAGCACCGCTGTCCATGTCCAGTTCGGTGCGCCAACGATGCGCAGCAGCAGCGATCTGCTGCTCCTCCGGTGGCAGCGTCGGCAAATTGAGAGCCTTGGGATTACCCCACTCGTACTGGCACTCATCCAAAAAGACGCCGCGGGCATGACACTGATCAATGTAGCTAATATGCAGCACCCATTTGCCGGCCGCCATGCAGCCGAGCAGCTTCTCGCCGCGATTGGGATGCTCGCAGAGTAGGTGCGTGCAGGCCGGATCATAGTTGGACAGATTCTGGCAGATCTGGCCGCCCAGCATACGAATGCGTTCCATGAGCAGTATACGTTTCTCCTCATCATCGCTACAGGAGATGCTGAAGCATGGCGTGCCCTGGTGACGCATGAGCGACAAGTCAGTGACGTCGGTGCTGCGCCTGGCGCCATTAAAATCGGCCGGATCCCGCCAACCGACCATCTCCTCGCTGCCGGCTAGAGCAAATCCCTCCGACTCGAAGGGCTGCACAACTTGCGCCTCACTTCTCGCCAGGCCGTCGTGATCACGCTTCAGGCTGCTGCGACGTGTCTCGCGACTCTTCAAATAGTCGGTGATCTGCTTGAGTTCCAGCGAATTGTCCGTCGTCTCCTCAAAGCTGATCTTGTCAAAGTTAATGGTGCTGCCACTGGGCAGCTCTTCCTGGGCAGCTGCACCTGTTCCTCGGGGACTTTGTGTACTGGGTACAGATGGTGAGCCGCCAGCTGCTGCTGCTGCTGCTGTTGCCACAGCTGATTCCGGCTGGAATAGCAGGCGTCCAACTGATTGCTTCTGCTTCTGCTGCTGCTTCTGCTTTTGGGGCTGCTGCTTCTCTTCTTCCTCTGGTTCGCTGTAGTCAATGCCCAGCGTCTCGCAGGTGATGCGCATCACTCGCTTCCGAATCACCGCGATGGGCGTGTCCGGCTTAATTGGCTGCTTGGGCAGACGCCAACGTCGCTCGAAATCATCGGCCATTCGCTGCTGGAACTCTGGCGTCAAACAGAAGTTAGGTATGCCAGGAGCTGGCCGCTTTGACTGACGGTGATTCACCGGCGTGCACGCCTGCCGCCTAATCCGCTCCAGCTCGGGCGTCGGATTCTCGCGCATTTCGCGTATGATCTGACGGACACAGTTGCGCGCCTGACTCGTCTCCAGGCGCTGCACCACCTGCTCGAGAAACTCAAAGTTGCATGCACCAGCGGCGCTGCTGCCTTTCTGGCTGAGTGGTGTCCGCGGAGAATCTGGTTGGGTTTGTGGGGCCGGAGAGACGCCACTGGAGCTGCGTCTTCGCGCACTCGGCATGCCCGTGACCAGCTCCGAGATGCGCGGATTACGCAATGGCGTCAAATCCGGCCGCTGCTCCTTATCCTGCTCCTGTTCCTCCACATCCAACTCCTCTTGCTGCTGCTGCTGCTGCTGCATTTGATTTTTGGGCGTCAGTGTTTTGCTCTTGTTGAGGCCCGGTGAGATGGGAAACTCGCTGGCACATTTGCCCACCAGAAAGCGACCGTAGGGCAGCTTCTCGCCACGCTGGGCGCACTGCAGCAGCCAATCGGCATGCACCACTGGATAGCCCCATTTGAGGGCACCCTCGTATTTGGAGCCCTCCGCGCTGGAGCAAACCAGCAGTGGTCGCTCCCTCTTAACGAATGCCTTGTTCAGCTGTGCGCCAAGCAGCTCGGCCAGCGCATTGATGAAATCTCGCTCCAGACCCGCATAGATGGACACCACAATGGTCATGCCGCGCAGCGGTTCCTCTTGTGCCCGATGCGGCACGGGTCGGTGATAGTACTCCAGTGGCAGCAGCTTGTTCTGCTTCATGCAGCTCTCCAGGTAGAGTTCGGTGACCACATGACGTGCTTTGATCGGCAGCACAGATTCGTCCAGCGCCTGCTCGAAGCTGACAATGGCATAATCGACCAGATCCGTATAGCTAGGTGGCACAAGGCAGCCCTGTGCAGCTCGGCACTCGTTCAGCATCTGGTCGTAGAGTTCGCTGCTGAAGCACGACTCGTGCACATAGACCGAGGCCCCCATAAAGTAATCCAGCTTATCAAAGTCAATGGAGAGGGTGCTGGCACTCAAATCCGGCAGGGCAACTGCCAAAGATGTTGGAGGAGGTGGATGTGGATGTGGAGGAGCAGCAGCCGTTGAGAGTGAGAGCTGTGTGGAGCTGGCAGCGGGCAATGGCATTGCTGGCTCCTGCTCCTGCGAGTAGTGTGTGAGCAGTTCCAGTTCGGGTTCGGGTTCAGCATCTGGCCGTGCCTCGTCCGCCTGCTCGAACAGTTTCTTCTTGATGGGCACCGCCGGCTGCTTGAAACTGTGATTCATGGAGCGCAACGTTCGCTTGCTGGCCGGCGAGGCGGCTTCCGGTGGTTGCCCATGCGGCAGCGAGATGCGATGATTAACTTCACTGACAATGTGACCAGCACGTATGCTCTCCAGCAGCCAATCCAGTTGCACCACCTGCACGGACGAGAGCAGTCCTTGCGCTTGCCACTGTCGATAGTCAGCATCTAGCAGCTGGCCGACGATGATGTGCGTCAGTGCTTCGTGCAGGTCATCGTATCGTGTGGCGCCACCCGTATTCAGAACTCGACGCAGCTTCTCGCGTTCAACGCTGCGAAAGCCACTCAAATAGATACAGCAGCCGTCGAGGAAGCTGCCAGCTTGCTTCGCCTTGCGCGGACTAATCTCGGCCAGCGTCTGCTGATATTGGCCGCCACTGGACGTGGCCTGTTTGAGCAGCTTGGCAGCACTGCTTGCGCTTCCGCTCCCGCTCCCGCTCCCACTTCCGATCCCGCTGCAGTTGCTCGAGACGGTCTCGTTTAGTGTGGTATTGTCGCTGCACATGCGACGACCTGGCGCGGACACGAAACTGATGCGCGAGAGATCCGAGAGCTGGGTGTGATCCGCAGCGGTCTGGTTGCCATGCCGCTTCGTCGGCGTGGACATCTGCTTGCGGGGATGCACCTCGTACTGCTTGGTGGGCAGCGCATAGCCACGCTGGTGACTATCGAATATCCATTCGGGCAGCAGGATGTCCTTTTTGAAGCGCAGCGCCGCCTTGTATTTATCGGAATCGGTCTTCGACTGCTCGGTGATGACAATGTCGACCAGCTGGGAACGGAAGGCGCGATGATAGATGCCGCCATTCTCATTGACCAGACGCATCACAGCATCCTTGCGACTCGTCTCCAAGCCGCTGCACGTGATGTTCGCGCCAAAGAATGTGGGCAAACGATACTTGTCGAATTGTGGATCTGTGGCGCTTATGCCACCGCTGCTGGTATTCTGTGTGCATGCCCAGACGCACTGCACCCAGTCGACGTGCATGACGGGCACACCGTTGAGCGTGGCATGCTCGTACTTGTTCGTCTTGATTGTGTTCGAGATCAGGTGTGTTATGTTGCGTCCGAAATTCTGGAAATAATGTCCGCCCATCCACTGGACGAGCTGCTTCAGCTCTTCCTTCTCCTTGCTGCTAGTGCCGCTGGCCGAGATCTGCAGATCGCGCATTGCAGTCGCATAGATAGGACTGCTGCCCAGCGGCACTGGCTCACATCGGCCCAAGCACTCCACAATGCAGGGCGGTCCCAGCACCAAAGCCTTTGTCAACTGCAGCTGCACGAACAGATCGCCCTCAAAGTGCGCCAGTACGAAGACATCCTTCTTGCTCAGTCCGCCGCTGGCGATCAGTGGGAAGCCCTCGCTGGGACGAATCTCGCGGATCTGCGTGTCCGCAAGCTGGGCTCGCATCAGCCTCAATGCGTTGGCATATTGCTCGGCGATTGCCCGGTCGGCATCCGTTTCGCTCTTTGTGTTGTTGACAAAATATGCGCATATCGTTTCGTCCAGGCTTGTGCTCATCTTTGCAATGCTTTCGCCTTATCCAATTGACGCTATTTTGCGAATGTTGATGCTGCAATTCACTGCACTTTTCTCGCGTACTCTTTTTGGCGCGTTTGGCGATGTTTATGGCGCGACTGCTGATAACTGTTTATCTCAAATTTTCTATCGCCTGGCATTTGTTATCGATACTTAATAGTGCTCTCAAGTGAGTATATTTATTTTTGAAAGCTCATTTCAATTATATTGAATGAACATTTATATTTATAGAAAACAAAAATGCCAGTTTAGGCCAGCTTGCATCTACTTAAGAGATTTCATAAGCAATATGAAAAAATTCATGCGAATATGTACTATATATTTATATACGATGGCTAACGTTGCTATCGTATTGCATGGCAATGCTTCAAGAGGGTGGCAACCCTCCCTGCCACACAGTTCGAATTTCGCACAGTTGGCGCGTAATTCAAATTTCAATTGGCCTGGCTATATAGCATTTGTATGCAGAAAATAACAAGAAAATAATGAATGGGTTGCACTGTACAATATCTATTTATTTGTATGTTTTATGCGTTGTGTTTTAACATTATTCAAGGTTTGATTTACTTTTAGTTATGTATATTTTGTTTGGAGTTGATTGCAGTTTACATTGCTTAAAGTACATATTTATTAATGCTTATTTTGCTAATTTGCTGTTTGATTGAGTCTATTGTAGTTATTGTTCACGGTTGTGGGATAAGTGTTCATGTTGATGTTAAGCATTAATTTGACTCTTATCGTAAAAAAAATAATACAAATCATATAGATTATACATATAAATTTATATATAGTTAATTATACAAATACACATGTTGTTTATGTATGCACGCAGATACTTTCGGTCACTGATAGTCAAATAACAATTAAAGTTAATTAAATAAATAAAATACAGCTATGTAGGCCTTAAAATGCTAAATAAATCAAATTAAATGCGGGTGTTAGTTAAATTAAAGTACCGACACTTTTACGTGGCGAAAACAATCAAAAGGACGACAAAAAAAAGAATACATGTATATATATGTATTTATATGCAATATGTGTTTATATATGTGTGTATATGTGTATATATATATATATAGTATATAGGATTTTGAAACAAAGCAAAGAAACCACGTGGCTACGATTCTATGCAAAAATTCATTGGGGTTGTGACGCTTTGATTTGATTTTCGTACTTATTTTAAGTTCTACAACCTACGCATATGGTTAGCAAAAAAAAAAAGATGGAAAAAAAGAAACAGAAGGTAGATGGTTTATTAAATTGACAGCAAAAGGAGTGACAAAGATGGACACTGTGTCTGTGGGAGCAGGTTGGCACATCTACGCACAACTGCGCGCTCGACGTTGAAAGCGCTTCATGCGTCGATACCAATCGCCCTTCCACTCGATAACTATTGAACGCGGTCCAATGCCCAGATAACCGGGCGGCGCCTCCGAGTCTCGCCCCAAGATCAAATAGGATCTGCAACGAATGCAACAAAAATAAAGTGAGTTTTTGATATCATTCTGTCGTAGTATAGTAATTATACAGAATATAATGATCTGACATTCCTGGTTCTTTCATTCGTTCATATTAATACCTAAAAATTTAAAAGCTTTTAAATAGTTTATGGGCAAGAAATAAATACAAAACACAGCAAATATCGCGAAACGTGCTCTGAAAAAGAAGAATTTCAAAAACAATGCTTTGGCCCCTACCCGTAACCGATCTGTCTCAGTTATTAAATATATCAGATCAACAATTGTTTTGAAATTTACTAACGCATCCGGTTGGACGCCCTTTGGTTTTGCCGTTTCATCCAGTGACAGGAGAACGGAATACAGAACGATAGCAAAACGAGACAATTTACTGGCGAACAACCGTCTAACCTAACCGTATATGGCCAATAACCAGTGTTGTTATAGTTTTTGAAATTTCGACTAACATACACAGGCCGAACTTCTGTATCCTATAGCTCCTCTGGGTAAAACATATCTTGATGATGACTATGATCTTAAATGTTTAGGCTTTACCGTATGAAATACGTTATGGAAGGAACGATTGGGAATGATTGCCCGAAAGTTATGTAATTTCAATAGCAATAACACTCTCCTTTGCCTGCAGGTATAACTACTAAATGTAATCTTTTGTAATTGCTTGGGTTCTTGCGTGGATAATTTTTAGTTAGCTATAGTAATCGATTGCTACCTGTTGACTTTGATCCTTGGACAGCGGCACTCCAAATTCTTAATCGGTATGATCCAGGTCATAGGACCTCGTTTCAGCATTGTATTCGGCATTCCGTAGGCGCTGGTTTTGCTGTGCTTGAATACCGCCTGGATTTGTAGATCGTAGCGCGTGGCTTCGCTGTCGTTGGGATAATCCGGAACGCTGGCGCTGTTGATCCCAGCTGCTGACCGGTACTCGTACTCCTGCCCCCCAACCTGTTGCTGGTCCATTTCGTAGTCCACGTCCATTGGATCCATTGCGCGACGTCGCTCGCTGCTGGCCGCCTCGCTGCTCGTATCGCGGCCAATTACTTTGGCCATTATTGCTGATTAGAGAGAGAGAGAGAGAGAGAGCGAGAGAGAAATATGGAGAAATCAATTGCTTTCAAGGTGGTTCCTTATTTATTTATTTTTTTATTTTTCTGTGCTGTGGCAACATACCGTAATCTCTTTTGCAGTATTTGTTGAGATTTAATCTTTTGGTGCTGATTTTGCACTTTTCGCACACTAAAATAAAGAGAAACAGAGAGTTATTAAAAAATAAGTAAGCGTCGTCGCTTAGTAATGATTTCTGCACAGATGCATTTGTAAATTAGCGCCAGACCTTCGATGTAATCCTCCCTGCCCACCCCTCCCCGTGCTGCCACGCCTACGACGTTTCTTTTTTTGTTCGTATTTGTGTTTACAATTTAATTGCAAAATTTATGTCTTTATGGCCAATGCCAATTAGTACGTCCAACAGACACAGAAACAGAAACAGACGCTGCAGCAGCAGCAGCAGCAGCAATAACAACATTAAGGCGCGATTGGCATTGCATTAAAGCTGCCACGCCCCGACCCGCCCCGCTACACATGGGGCAGTCTAAGGTCGCCATTGCCCTCTTTTGTGTTGCACTAAAATTAGCCCAGCGATCATTTTGCTCTCGGGTGTTGTGATAGCTGGCAATGCAAATTGCATCGTTTGTTGATTGTTGTTTGTTTCGTTGCAAGCGCTGTTGTTCTCCTTCTTGTTGTTGTTGTTGTTCCTTGTATTTTTCTTGGTACACATATTTATACCCATTACAAATTTGTTGAAATGAGCATATCCGTTTTAAGCAGGCAGTGCTCTCAACAAATTTAGACATACTGTTTCATAGTGATATTTCAAAACTATTTCTATTTCGCATCTTGCATCTTAATTATGTTGCAAACTTTATATAATAATGACAGCTCTATTTTATATAATGATCTGACATGCCTGTTCTTAAGCATTATATAAATTATGGATCTTTGCATATATAATATTTCTTGCGAAACAAGAAACATATGCGAATAGCAAATAGTATTGCCCTTTGTGAAACTCTTCTCCTAATATGCCGCGTTGATTTTACCATTTTTAAATCTCTAAATAATTTAAAAAATTAACTAAATATTTTTCTGGCCAAGAGCTTATTTTGTATTTGCGTTAGCACTGAATTGAAGACTGCAAAACTTGCCAATTGTGACCAGTAACTTGGGGAGTTCATCTAGGTGGAGTTAATCTACGCAATTTACGCGAAACTTTTTCCTTTTAATTTTTAACAAAAATCTTCCGTTTTTCCGGTTTTTGGGTGCTCTAATTTACACGTCAACTTTGTAATAACTTTTCCGTTTTCTTAAATTGGAGCGCGTCTGATTGTTTCTTGTTTACCATACAAATATTAAGATGGTTTCATCTGATCGATTGTAGTAATGCCCTCAACTGAATTCCGTCTCTGTGATCTGTTTTATGGCTGATCGTTGCATATTTAATGAACAAAGTACGATGATGATGTGCAAAAGAAGCAGACCAGCTTGCAGAGAGTGTGTGTGGCTTGCTTACTGGGTATCATCTAGTCAAGCACATGTACATTGTTTCGCAATCGTCATTCAGACTGCAGCTGTCAATGTCATCGGCAAGTCGTGACACAATTGAGGCAAGGCGAGTTGCAAATACGAGAACTTTGTGCTACATACATACATATATGAGCAGGCGAGCGATAGATCGATTGATCGATCAAAGTGGGTGGGGAGGTAAGCTTCTAAATTTGGACGAGTGCGCCAACATTTCGTGGATGTCGCCACCAATTTGGTATTTATTGCACGCACTTTCAAACAGCGCAGCGCAAACGAAACCCGAATTTCATTTCACTCTAGTTCTTCCTGTTAAGTGGCCCGGCCATATTTATCGCAGCTATTTGCGGCTCTGGCGCTAAAGAGCACTGGATACGCCCACAAGCCCCAAACTCTATATATATATATATATGTATGTAAAGAAAGAAACTAAATATTGTTGAGCGTCATTCGTGCGGCGCTTGCAACTCATGCAGAGTGACTAGTTAATCATTTACATAATTGTGCATTAGATTAACATGTCATTAAATTTCGCATGCAAAATCAGATGCGAGATGTGAGGTCGATAAGTGGGTGGCGCCCCAGGCAATTGGGGTTTTGCGACTGGTGGTGTGAGTGGTGAGTGCTGGGTATGTGGACTGTTGCTGGCAAGCGGCACTAACTTTAAATTGACTCAAACTCGACAGAATTTCAAATTAATTTAATAAGATTATCAAATTATAAATTCATAATTAATATTCATGTCGAGCTGTCTCGCCCACGCCTCGATTTTGCACAGCTCGTACTCTGCCGTCTCTCACTCCTTCCTGCCCCGCAGCGAACCCTATGCAAGGACTAACTTTTTAGCCATGTGTTTGTGTGTGTGTGTGTGTGTATGTGTGAGAGAGAGAGAGATAGAGATAGAGTGTGAGAGTGAGAGAGTGAGAGAGAGAGTGGGTGTGTTAGAGTTTGTCCATCTTGCTTGTGCGCTTCTTGGTTACAAGCGTGCAAACTTCAACTTCATCTTCAACTTGGGTTTCTCAGCATCAACTTTGTGCTTTTCTTTGCCATTGACAAATAAATTTAACTGACTGACTGCCTCTTTAAGCAGCAACAGAACAGCGCCAGAGGTGGCCGGGTGTGGCAGGAGGTGCAGCCGGGCCACTTTAACTGCAAGTCCTATTTGCATTTGATGATGGATGCTCTTCTGAATGGGCGCCCAATGTGTGTTCGCATTTAGTTCTGTGCATACAGCTACTATTTTTTACACTTTACATTTCTTATTCTTTATTTTGTTTTTCTATTTATTTCCGATTTTTTGCTTTCAAATTGTATTTCAACTGTGACTTGACTTTGATTGAAGCTTATGCTGACAACCTTACAGCTTCATGCTTTGGCACAAGCTCCCACAAAAGACAAAAGCGCATTCATGTTCAAATCTATGCATATATATATATATATATATAACTCAACCAAATCGATTCTTCAGAATAGACTAGCAGGAAAATTCAATTTCCCCTATCTATGTATCTGTGTACTAAGAAGTATGTTTATTAATCAATTTGTTTATTTTACACAGCATTTCCATATGCTTATGATTACGACTATATAATAGAACTTCCATTAGAGCGATTAACCCATATTTACAAACATATGCACATCGCTCTATCCCAATATTCCAGACGAATCTATATTCATATCCTTGAATGATGGTATTACAATTTTATTTTCAAGTTTATAACGCATTGAAGCAGATTTTTATGACCCCATAGGGTGTATCTATTCTTGAGCAGCGTTCAGTTGTCCATCCATCCAGTAGAAGCTATTTTGATAAAGTCTACCTAATGGGACCATTACATTTGTTATCGTAGATTTGTGTATTATAAAGCTCTTTATATTTGGCAAAAATGAACAATCGGTTTTAAGTTGGGGGATCGACATAGTCGATCTGCACCATGGGATTATCCGTTGCTAAATGCAGTCTGCAAATAGTCGGCGGCAATTAGTGGGCATGGCAACAGGCTACTGTGCCGGAGTGGCACTTAAAATTGGACGCCGTTGCTCATTCATGAACAAATTAAATAAAGAAACTTTTTAATACATTTGCGTAGCAAGTTGTGAGTTGGTCGCCGCCTGTTTTTCTATCTTTTTGTTTGCTGCTCACCATTCGCTTTGTGCAAAGTTTACTTTTGCTTTTGCTTTTGCTTTTTCTTTTTCTTTTTCTTTAGCACGCGCCACCTTAAAGCGCCAATAGGATGGGGCAGGGAGGCGGCGAGGCGGCGAGGCGGGTGTAAGGCGGCTTTAGCATGATTTATGCCGTTGTGGCGCATTCTGTTTGCTGCTTGTTGCTGCAAGCACTCTTCCCATTTACCACCATTTACCTTCCACAACCCCACTGGCATGGGCAAAAATGTAACTAAAAGTTGCGTTTAAACATTTGCACTATCTGTTAAGTGCTGAACGCCCACGCGGCCATCTTCTGCCCTGCCACGCCCACAAACGCTCTGAGTTAACAGCTAACAGCATGCAGCTATGCCCCCCCAATGCCTTTGTCTTCTTTGGAGGCACTGGGCCGCCGCTTAACCGACAACCGACTGCACTTTAGCGGATTTGTGTTTTCTCACCCATTTGAAAGGATTACAAAGCGAGAGTAGCGAAGCGGCAAAAGTTTTGCCGTCTGACATTGTTAGTAGAAGCGACCACAGCAACAACAGCAACAACAACAACATCAACAATAGTGGTTAACACACACACGCACCCAATGCTCATACTAACTATGAGAGGGAGACATTGAGAGAGAGAGAGAGAGAGAGAGCACTTACTTACCCCTGCCGCCCTCGGTGCGATAATATGGGGATTGGGCGGCCGCCGATGAGGCGCCTCTGTCCACGCCAACGCCTCCAGTTGACTCATTTGGCTCTGGCGCCGTATTCTGCGTATCCAGCATGTTGATCGAGCGTGGTGATTGCTCTGCAAAAGACAGATTACACATATATTAGATACGGCTTAGCCCTGACTTGGCATTTACTGGTTGTGGCTGACAACATTTGGCGATAAATTTCAAACCCACGCAATTTGAAAATAAATATGTATATCTATGACTGGTATCGTATCTCATTGCTTTCATTTTTTGTACTATGATTTGTAAAATCATCTAGCAGACAGGCATCCCCACAGACAAAGTCTGTGACTGCTTCACATACATATAACACGAAATAAAACTAACTCTAATAAGTTATATGTTATCTTTTAAAATATATATATAATATATATAATGTTAAATATTTTTCAATATTTTTCTTTCTTGTTTCTGATCACACAATTTAAGTTTTCTGATTTTTTGTTTCAATTTATTTTTTGAGCTACGTTTTTTTTTCAACAATGTAAAGAAATTAGTAATTTACTCTATATATAAAATATGAAAAAATATTATATTCAAAGGGTTCTTTTAACATTGCAATATATTGGAAATATGTGAAGAATCAAGATTCGTGTTGAAATCGAACCGTGAACCGAGTTCCAAACAATTTGGTTTTATGATTGTGGTCTTGGTTCAGATATTTTCGAATTTTTGATTAACTCATAATATAGAATAAGTAAAATAAAAAAAAGCAAAAATTGCTATTTATCTTAGGCACGCCAAATATTACATACCCTTTTAGACCGGAATTAATCTGCGGACAATCACATTTTTGTGCAAAGTTCGAATTGATGAATTTGAATATATTTTACTCTTAATCAAATATTTTTCTTATAATGCCTGCCTCAAGTCTACAACTCTCGATCCCACAACCTATAACTCATCTTCAGACGATTGCTCCTATGACAGCTGAATGATACAGTGTGAGTACGAGGAACTTTATGACATGCATATTTTGTGAGTTTGGACAAGATTTGTTGGTTAAAATATAATTTATGCAATGCGAGAACTAATCTTTCGATCTAATAGAAGTTATATTATTTAGTGGTTCGATTCGGGAGTCTTCGTCATCGTAATTGACCAATGTAAAAATGGATATGGACCACGTTTCATCAATATAACTTTAAAATTGAGGAAGTTCAGCAAGACTCAGAAGCGGTCGCGACTATATCGACTCAGCTAGTGATGCTGATCAATAATATATGGGGTCGTAGACATCTCCTTGAATGCATTTTAATAGCTTCTTTAAGGTTATACAAAAAATAAAATATAATATTGCATAAATATGCACTAACTGCTTTGTGAAAACAAAACTGATAATGGGGTAGGGGGATGCAAAGTAATTAAGTGTATACAAAGGTAATCATCACAAGTGAGATCTCGGGTACTACTCGGGTCTACTTACTGATGCATGGTGCGATGTGGGAGCGACTTTGTTGATAGCCGCGGGCGCAGCGATTGCAGGTCAGCCCAGTGACGCCGTCCTTGCAGGGACATTGACCGCTCGTGTTGTTGCAGATCTTATCAGAAGAGCCGATCGGGTGGCACTCGCAGGCTGCAAGAAAGGAGAGAACCAGAACAGATCAGAACGAGTTAAGTACAGTTATAAGGCATTGGGATACGCTGTAACCAGATACAGATACAGATACAAATATGATTATAGATACAGATACAGATACAGATGTTGGTAGAGATTGTTGTTTCACTTGCAGCTGCGTCGCGTTGAGAGCTTAATTGCGCTGGCCGCACTTCAAAGCCTTTTTGTTTTTTGTGTTGCCAATCGCAAATGCAATCTGCACGCACACACACACACAACAAATGGCCATGGAGGCTACTTGAATTCAACTTATTGTTGCTTTCAAGTTTTCTCTTCCTTCGAGTTTCTGGGAAGCCAGCGGGTGACGATTGCCAGTCCCCCACCCCTCTCGTTTCCCGTAGCCAGCTCTTGCTGCTCGCTTATGAGCCGTCGAAATGTGCATTAACAGATAACAGAGAATGCATGCATCCACCCAACACCCAACACCCAGCACCCAGCATCCACTACCCAACAATCACCATTCACCACCCACTGTCGGTTAGCCAAATTGAGTGCATGCTGTCAGTTCATTGCTGGCCAATGTTGCCACACGGCTAATTGCAAATGAGAGTGCGAATGTGCTCGGACCAGCGGCAGTCTTTTATCCCGGGTCCTCATTGCTTGAGTGTATTGCATGCATGCAAACTGACTCAAATTATTTAATTTAAACACGCACAAAAATGCAATTGACCCCAAATCAATATTGAGATTGCCAGCAGTCGAGCATCGCCCACCGATTTTGTGATCAATTGAACATGATCGTTGTTGTTTGATCAAAAGATTTGGCTTGTGGCATGTGGCTTGCAGCATGAGGGGAGAGTACATCAAATGTTCTCGACGTGATGGAATGAAAATGTGATTGAAATCGAATCAACTATTCGTCTCTCTTACTTGTACCCTTGTAGGGTTATTAGAGTTTTGTTTGTGATATGTGTAACGCCTGTGCGATTTAATATAAATATAGATATAATCTTGATCAACATCACTAGCTAAGTCGATATAGCCATGTTAGAATTTTCCTATTTAAAGCTATCTTTATAAAAATTCGCATGTATCCTAATTTTTGTTGCAGGCAGGATAAGTTCAAGTAAGAAAGTCTTTTTTGTTCACTGAAATATCTAGCCCAATTTAACAACAATCGGTCAGTTTTTGAAGTTCATAGTATTATAGTGAAATTTCGATATCGGCCTACAAGGTTTATAATATTTGGCGGTTCTTTGTTGCTTTCTAAGCATATTTTGAAGATCTGATTTCCTAGTATCATCCACTTATTTCCTATTTGTCGCATTTATGTTCTTTAATTAAGATGAGCTTCAGTATGATTTTTTCCATTTTTTGCGTTTTTTTTTTTGTTGTTGTCTGGGCCAGCTTTTAATTTATACATGACGCCCCGCAGCGTTCTACGACGTTTCACTTTGCCCTCCCCACAGAAGTGGACAAATGAGCCTTCGTGGGGGCCACTCATCTGGCTGTGATATATATTATCAGCTGACTGGTCTTTTGCTTTTCAAACTTTGCTTTTTCTTGGGATTGGGCTAGGTGTGTTGGTTAATAAGCCGCTTTCGGCCACACTTGAATTGCAGCAGAAGGAGACCCTCAAGCCATTTGCCTGTTTAAAGCATTAAGTGGGACTGTACTGAGGCTTGGAGTAAGCTGAGACTCTGGCATACAGCATATTGCCTAGGACAGAACTCGCGAATGGGAATAAATGAGTGGGGCATGGAGGCATGAAGCAGAGTGTGCAGCGTGCGTGCAACATTTGGTAATTTAATCCGATTTACAATAAATTAAATGCGATTTATATGCACAGAGCGACACATCCGGAAGATAACAACAACAACAACGACAACAACAACAACAACAACAATAGCAGCACAACAACAACAATGACATTGACAATGACAACAACGACAGCAGACAACAATAATAACTTGCTACAACAACAGCGCTTTAACCATTTTGGCGCTTGTGTCCATTGTTGCTGGCCGCAAGGCGCACTCAGCTATGAGGGGTCCAACAATGTGGCTGTACACATGTATATATATATCTATATATGCATATGTATATGTATGTGTGTGTGAGTGCCAGTATATGCGATATCTGAGCACACACAGCTCGCACGCTGGAATCCTGCTGAAATAGCCAAGGCAGAACAAAAAAACAAAAAAAAAAGGAGCAGCAACAACGAGTTCATTACGCATCCTGTCCCATATCACAGCTATGGATATGAACTCCGTTTCAGTTCCCGCTCTCAACTCAAATATGCATATGTACCGACATATGTAGGTGTGGATGTGTACACGGAGAAAATAGCATTTTCAAAACTGCCAATTTCCTTTCAGTTTCTAAAATGAGGAGTTTCATTTTTAACAGAAATTTTACATCTTTTTTCTGAGAAGTTGAAAGAATTGCATTCTCAATTTGAACTTACAAAGCCACGGTTATAAATTTCTATGGCATGAAAAAAAAACAAATGTATTGAAATTGCCTATTGTTTTGGTTTTAAGTCAGTAAAATCTATTTATTTTCCATTTGCTTGTGCAAATAGACGTTTTCAAATGTGTCTCTTACTTGTTTTTCAGTGTACTATATACATGTGCCAATGTTATACATATGTTTTGCCGTATTTCTGTCGGATTTCGTATGGCATGTGGAGCGCTTTTTTTGCAGACTGACCAGGAGAGCAAGAGATTATGAATTTTCATTATAGCAAGCCACAAAGGTACACAAACAGACATGTGTGAGCAGTAGCAGTAGCATAATCAGAGTCATTGCAGGCACTCAGAACACCCACATTCAGAGAGCCATATCATATGCAGCATTTACAGCAAATGTAATCGAGTAGCTGCATTTTTGTTAAGCTTCAGTCGGTTTCTATTTAATATTTTGCCGTATGCTGCATGCTGTTTGGTCTGCTGATTCATTCAACTGGCATATCAGTTGGCAGGGAGCACCTTTCACTGGTTTGAGTCACTGCGCGAAAGGACGACCCAATTAACTAAAATTGAATCACATTTGACTTGTCTGCTGTGCTTTCGCATACAAGTACACAAATGTCCAACAAAGCACGACACAAAGAGAATCTGTTGCAGCTGCTGCTGGCTCCGCATCTCAGTCAGTCTGGGCACAACTCCTGCTCCACATTCAGTGCGGTTCCAGCTGCGATGCAGCAACAACACATGCTGACTGACTGACACGCTGCTCCCCGAAAAGGGCTATTTGAAATATTGGCTCTTAATTAGGACAGCGCACGTGAATCATTGCCAATGTTAATGAAAGCCAGCCAAATGAATCAAAGTTACACATTCATCATTTCGAAGCTAATTCACTTTGATCATTACAAACAAAGACCACAAGAAACGGGGAGCTAACTTTCAAATTTATTTGTTGTGTGACTCAGTCAACTGCTAGACTTGATTCAATTGTTCACATAGTTTCAAAAGTCCAGAAGACAGTCTGGCATCATAATTTGTAATAGATATTTTCAATATTTTCAAAATAAATCCAGTAGGCAGACAGTAGACAGCATCACCATTTTTCATAAATAACTTTTATTTAAACAAAAATTGAAACTACATTTTAGAAGATAGAAAGAAGAATATTATAAAGATATTCAATGCCTATATTTTTGAGTACTCTTTTATTACTAACTTATAATTATTTTTATAAAAATATTTCAACTTTATTTCAGTAGTTTGAGCAGTAAAAATAGCATTTAAATGAAAAAAATGTGTACAAAAGAATGAATAATTGATTTATATTTATTATTCATTTACAGTTTGTTGCTAGACGCTTCATTAAAAACTATAAGCTTGGCTAGTAAACAAACTATTGATCTCTGTTTTTACACCTGCTAAAACACATTTATGTAGACACCTGTACAAATTACGATATCCATCAGTCACAGTGCAGTAATTTCGGGGCAGGCATTCAATTTATTTACAGCTATTGCCTACTGCTTGCGGCCTATTTTATTTTAATATATGTAACACACACATATATATATATATGTATATGTATATGTATATATATATATATATGTATATATAGATTTGGGCTGTGCGCTGATTCACTTTTATTTACAGCGCTCAAAATCTGTTTGGCTGTTATTTATTTTGTTTGGCTTCCTAAAAATTAATTAACCAAAGTTTCACTCGCACTCACGAGTATACTCAGACTCGCACTCGCACTCGCTATTGCATTCACATTCGCACTCACACAGCGCGGCTCTGGACGAAGTGTAAACATCATAAAGCAAATCAAGCGCAATTTGTTATTGTTTATTTCTACTTTGCGCAAGCGAACAATCTACAGAAATATCCACGCCCACGCCAACGCCAACGCCCACGCCTACAGCCCCCACCCCCACCCCCACCCCCACCCCACCTACAGACTTCAACCTCAACATCCCGGCACTTAGCTGACCGCAAGCAGAAAGTGCTTCGTCGTCGACGCAGCGCCCACTTCCCATCAATTGCCATAAGATTTTGGCCCCAAAATTTCGTAGTCCAGCTGAAAAAATGGTGAGTAATATAAAAGCACAGCTGCCACCAGTCAGCCAGGGGAAGGGGTTGGCCGCAGGGTGGGCGGGGTGTTGCGCCTGCTGTTTGTTATTATTAGCAAAAAAAAAAAAAATCATGCAATTTTCAAAAGAAACCAAACACAATATAAGAATTATGAAAAGATTGCCTTGTCGAGTCGAGTCGCAACCGAATGATTTGCCGGGTTGCGAGGGATTACACCTGGCCGATTCAGGTGAACACTAAACAGACTACGCTTTACAGCCAGATGGATGCATCTGGCGGATACCCGATTAGATCATTCTAGTTGCAATATATATAGCAAAATGAATACCATTCGCTTAAAGTGCGAGTGTATTCATACAACCTCAACACCAACACATGACTGGTCATAAACATTTCAAACCCACACAGATATGAACTCCTTCAACGAATTCATTTAGAAAAAGAAAATTACAC